AAACACTATGTGATATTTTGTGGTATTTACTTCTCTCGGTGTCTTATGTATTTATATTCTGGTCTTGTGGCATTCACACAACCTCCAATTTATTTGTTTTCTCCTTTTCATTGTCGACAGAGCTGCTTGACAGGGCTATCTGGGGAATACAACCTTCCCTGGTCAAACGCCTTTGAAGGTTTCTCTCCTTTTTTTCTTCACCACCCCCCTCCCTGCCATGCGTTACCTGAAATGTGGCTCTATTTCTGTAAGTTAATGAACTTTTCATCTTTGTATTTAAAGTGTTTTCACTCAGTCAATATACTAACAAGATGAACTCTCTTCTCATGTTTGCACAGCCCACTGATGAACAGAGATACAGCGGAACTGTAAATGTTCCTCTGGATATTTCTCAAGAGCATTCCTCTGGATTTTCTTCTGTTCAATAAAATTTAAGCTAGAATATTAGAAATCATTTTCAAGAAACCATAACTCTATTGCAAGCTGTCAACTGAATGCAGGCTCACTCAGGAGAACTGCTGATTAGCACACAGTGTATTAGAGATTTAAACAATGTACAAAAGAACATTTCATGAGGATCTATTAAAGGATGCATATTGGATCAAGATTTCAGAAGGCTGGGAAAGAATATTTTAGCATAACTTAAGCATGTTTTACTGGATTCTCATTGCCACTGCCTGATGGCAAGACGAAGTCTAGGCCCCCGATTGGGAAACACTTGAAAGGCCTGGTACAAACTGGCCCTGTCCCCAGGATTTCTGATCCAGTAGGTCTGGGCTGGGCACCTAGAATTTGCATTTCTAACAAATTCTTGGGTAATGCTGATGCTGCTGGTCACGAGGCCACGCTCTGAGAACCACTAGTCTAAGCGAAAAACAGTCTCCTAAACGCTGACACCTGGTGTGAGGTCTATCGGAATGGTTAGGGGTCTAGAGCAGTGGTCGGCAAACTCATTAGTCAACAGAGCCAAATATCAACAGTACAACGATTGAAATTTCTTTTGAGAGCCAAATTTTTTAAACTTAAACTATATAGGTAGGTGCATTGTTATTAACTTAATTAGGGTACTCCTAAGGCTTAGGAAGAGCCACACTCAAGGGGCCAAAGGCCGCATGTGGCTCGCGAGCCGCAGTTTGCTGACCACGGGTCTAGAGTGATTCACTGACTAGTGGAGTTTCCTATGGAAGAGTTGATTATAATAACAAGATGAAACAATGATAGTTTCCCCATCAAGAAATTTAGTCTTTGCCATTGTGGGAGTCCTTAAAATGGAGGGGAACTCTGTGTCTTCATTGCTACTTAAATATGACCTCGTTTCAGAGCCTGTAGCCTCCATGTGTCTGGTTGCTGGTTTGGGAAGCCTCTCTCGTCATCAGTTGGTGTGTGTGATGTGACACTCTGCTATAGCTGACAGGCATGGCTCACTCCACCCGGAGTCAAAGCAAAGCAATACCTCCAAAACGGCACCGCCTCTACAGAGGCATGCTGGGAAATGTTTAACCAGCAGCTGCAGGGGCAGGGGCTGATATCTGTGTTGTGGCTGATTTCAAGCTACCAACGTGAAGTCACTGCTCACAGAGTCAGGAAGAGATGTGCACAATCGGCTTTCACAAACTCATCAGAGATATTCTAGCACACTTCTGCACCTCCACCACATTTTCTGCCTCCTCTGAGGCCCTTCTCTAACAGAAGCATCTGGTTGCCACGTGAGATTAGTATGTAATTACAAATTATAGTTTGTAATTTGTGTCCATAGGGGATTCCTTCCAAGACCCCCACTGAATGCCTGAAACTGTGGATAGCACCATGCCCTATATATACCATGTCTTTTCCTATACAGTGGGACCTTGACTTACGAGTTTAATTCGTTCTGAGACCGAGCTTGTTAAGGAGCTCATTAAGGAGCTCGTTAACTCAAATTACTCTATCAACTCAATGCAAAAAATCGGCGGAGAGACAGCTGGTATCTCAAAAAACTCGTTAGTCGGGACACTCGTAAGTCAAGGCCCCACTGTACATGCATACTTTGTAAAGTTTAATTTGTAAATTAGGCACAGTAAGAAATGAACAATAATAACTAATAATACAATAGAACAATTAAACAATATACTGTAATAATAGTTCTGTGAATGTGGTCTCTCTCTCTCTCTCTCTCTCTCTCTCTCTCTCTCTCTCTCTCTCTCCCCCCCCCCCCTCTCTCTCAGCCAACTAGCATGAATTTCTCTTTCCTTCACAATTTCACGGATAGAAGATTTGTTCTTACTGTAGATCACAGCAACCTCAGCATATGATTTTTTTCTTCCCTTATTAAGAACTTTCATGTTTTCACTTTAAAGGAATTATAGCTTCTCTTTGGCATATTTGAACTGCCAGCATCACTACTCTTGTGTTTTGGGGCCATTATTAAGTAAAATAAGGGTCACTTGCACACAAGTAATGCAATACCACAACAGTCAATCTGATAACCCAGACAGCTCCTAAGTGACTAATGGGTGGGGAGTGTCCGCAGCATGGAAACGCTGTACAAAGGGATGATTCACGTCCCAGGCAGAATGGAGTACAACAGCACGAGATTTCATCATTCTCTTCAGCACAGCACCCAATTTAAAACGCATGAATTGTTTATTTGGGGGATTTTACACAGAATATTTTCAGAATGGCATTGCCCGTGGGTAACTGGAACCATGGCAAATGAAACCACAGACAAGGGGGACTGCTGTATATGCCAGGAATTAATCTAAGCACTCTGCAGAGTATCCCATTTGGCATTCACATAAATCCTATAAGGTAGTTGCTATTATTCACCCCATTTTGTAGGTGAGGAAACTAAAACTCCAAAAGGTTTTATGCTCTTAAGATCTCATAGCAAATACAGAGCTGATAGCTGTACCTGTCAAAGCACAGAGCCTACCTCCTAACCATTGCATGGTCTGGCTACTTCCCTGGTGGGATTCTGACAGCACTGTGAGTGAAGTGAGAACTGCAGAGGCTTGGAGAACTTTCCATCATCTGCTCCTCTCCTGTGCTGAGTAGCTTGAAGCCCACTCCTGAGACAGAGTGGAAAGAACAGTCCTTGAGGTCCAAACAAGTGTCTAAGCTGCATGAAGGTGGACACAGTCTTGGAGACCCAGTCTCTTCATATATAAAATGGAGAAAATAATACTTAGCTTATAATTTGTTTTAAGGATCATAAATAATGTGCCTGGAATTATAGTGGGCATTATTTTTTCCATCTCATATAACCTCAAACTGTGCTACTATAACTTACTCTGACGTTTCAGCTGAAATAAATAATACATATAAATGTAGGCCTCTATCACATCTTAGAAATAACCTCATTCTGTTCACTTAACAAATATCCATTATGTACCTACCACAACATGCCAGGTACTCTTTGCAGCTCTGGAGATACGACAGTGAACAGAAGAGACAAAAATCACTACCTCCATAGGGCCAATGCTTTAAAGTGGAGAGGCAGATCATCTATAATAATAAAAGCATAATATGCTAATTAGACCAGACGTCCTTCCGGACGACCTTCTGGACAAAAGCTGGGGCTGTGAGGGAAGCCCGGGTCCCAGGTGCCTGCCGGCAGCCAGGGGAAGGAAGGCCTACTCCTGCATGAATTTTGTGCACCAGGCCTCTAGTAAACATATAAGTCTATGTATGTCAGTTGTTGAGAAGGGCTTGGAGAACATGGCATTTATCATCGTAGCTTCTTTTTCCCCATAAATATGACATATAGTAATTAGGAAACTACAAACAGTAAGTCTTTAAAGTGATATATTTCTCTTAAGAATTGGATTGGTAATGCCCAGCAACACCTTAAAAAAAATATGGTGGCCCTAGCCAGTTTGGCTCAGTGGATAGAGTGTCAGCCTGTGGACTGAAGGGTCCCAGGTTTGATTCCAGTCAGAGCACATGCCCAGTTTGCTGGCTCGATCCTCAGTAGGAGACATGCAGGAAGCAGCCAATCAATGATACTCTCTCATCATTGATGTTTCTTTCTCTCTGTCCCTCTCCTTTCCTCTCTAAAATCAATAAAAATATATTTAAAAAAAATAAGATGGTGGACTCATGATTGTTTCTTAGGAGAGCCTTGCTGGTTCTGTTATTTTAACAACACATATCCACTATAAGTTATCTACGATCTCAGAGGTGCCATAAAAGATAACATACCTGCCCCAGAGAAGGGGCAAAAGAGAGTAACTATATAAAGTTTTACAGCAAAATGGGCCGCATCCCAAAAGACAGAGACTGAAGCAATATATCTTAGCTCTCAATCTGACAGACCTGGGTTCAAAACCCACCTCCACCACTTTCAGCTTTTAGCTTGGACAAGTTAAACTCTCTGAGACTCACTTTCATCATCAGTAGCATGATAACAATAAATCGCTGTGAGGATTACGTAAGACAGCATATGGAAAGGGCTTAACAAATACCCAGCGCACATGAAGTCAATATATATTTGTCAAATAAATGAATGCTTTCATTTAGTGACTTGGGCTACTTTTGCTTTCATAGCAAGAACCCACTTTACTCAAATCTTTCCAATAGTGTTGACATACACAGTTTGCAAACACTTAGCATTATACAACTTCTTTCCTTTCTGCTACAAGCCTCTTTATTATCTACTACCCAAGAAATGCCAATCTTGGTAACCATGCCACACTATATATATTTCTCTGGTTACTATTGTGGTTTTACAAAGATAAGCATTTAATTTCTGAAAAAGTGCTGTTCAGCTAAAAACTTTTCTCTCCATAACAGATTCAAAATTAATATTACTTTTTTAAATTTGAAAAACAAAACAAAACAATTGTTTCAGCCAAACTTAGTGCACTGATATTAATGGGAAATTCCAAAAGTAATAGCCATGTAAGATTCAAACTCATGAATCTATGGCAGAGTCGACCATCGCTCTGAGGGAGCAGACTAACCATCTGCCTCTAAACATTACAGAATATTAATGTTCAGGCATTAGAACCCGGGACACAATATAATTAACCAAAAAATGTTTATTATTGATTTTTATTAAACCAAGCTCAAAGTAGTCGCTTATTTTCCACTACAACAAAGCTATAGCTAGCACCGTTTGCTTAGAGTTGTTTTACTTGGCCTAACATACATCAGGAAGATAGTCCATTTGCCTAGAGCTTCACTGTTTTGCTCTTATTTTTCTTTAGAGTGAAAATTGCCTGCAGGGAGTTCTAGTGCAGAAATGCTGTCTTCACGCAAGGACGACGTTCCACCCGGCCCAGGAAGAGGTTGGGTTTAACATACATCCCATCTGTGCATTTCCACATCTTTCTGTGGGGGTTGGAGAGAACAATTTGTAATATTTACTTTGCAAAGACACCTCGGAGATTTTTTTTTTTAAGCTGATAGAGATCTAGGTGAAAATATGTCCTAGAAAATTATTTATTTTCAGGGTCTAAAGAGAAAAAACACTTGGTCAGCCAACTCCATTCAGTCATTTTCCCCTTTTATTATTATAATTATCCTTTTGCCTGAGGAGTACATACCTGACAGGTTTTATGTCTGAATTACTGTAAATGCACGGGACTTTTCACCTGTGAGTATGCAAAGACATTCAAACTGATTCAAAATAAATGATTTATGTGCTATTAATTGAATTGAAAAACAAAAGCAGGCCTACTCTTACTTAGAACGTTGCTAAAGCTAGATCTCTTTGGAAAATAAATGGTAAACGTAAAATTTCAAAGAATTTATGAGGCAATCTTTTTTTTTTTTTTTTTTTTTTTTAATGAGGCAATTCTTAAGGACACGATTGCTCATGTAGTTGCCAGCGATGTGAGTACATTCTCCTGCTCTGTTGTGGTAAAAGCTCTACTTGGTTGGCCAAGAAGTTAAGGAGCACTTACGAATGAGGCTGATATTCTTTGTAAGTCACATCCTTTCTAATTCAAAGTGGCAGATTTTATCCTGATTTTAAAATATCCCATAACCAAAAATATACAGATTTCCTCTGTGTCTGTGAGGTACTGGTTCCAGGATCCTCACAGATACCAAAATCTGTAGATGCTCAAGTCCCTTATATAAAAGAGCATAGTTTTGTACATAATCTACACACATCCTCCTGTGCACGTTAAAGCAAGCATGTCAAACTCAAAGGCTAACACGGGCCAAATGAACAAGGTTTAAGTTTATGTGGGCCGCAAAAAAACAAAAGCTTCGATTTTCATAGAAATGTAGGTTTATTTCGAAAAGTGTAGTATTAAAAAAAAAACAAGAGCAATGATAAAATTAATTTTTCTTCCTGACACTTGGCATCTTTTCTCTGTTACTATCTTTCCTACTTCGGGGGAAATCTTGTTTGCAGTGATTACTTTCAAAACTGACCCAAGGTGAATGTCAGTAATTCTGGATCTGACGGGAGACTTATTTCCTTTCATAATTGTAAATAACTGCTCACACCGTTATATTGGCTGGGCCACAAAAATATTTGTTGTGGGCCGCACGTGGCCCGCGGGCTGCGAGCTTGACATGCTTGCTTTAAATCATCTCTAGATTACTTGCAGTTCCTAAGCCAATGTACGTTCCATATAAATAGCTGTTATATTGTATTGTTTCAGGAATAATGACAAGAAAAGGTCAGAACATGTACAGTACGCAAGCAACCATCATAGGACTTGTTACATAGTTCACGTCAGCAACACTGTAAAATTTGTTCAAGTATTTTGATCTGACATATACATATACAATTTTGATGTATATATGCATGTTATATATATTTATATCCCTTTACATATGACATATATCTTTGATTTTCTTAGCCAGTGTTGTACTGTACTTTGCATTGCCGTGTAGTTTAGCAAGATCTGCTGTACAAGCATAGAAAGATGGGGAAAGAAAGGTAGAAAACGATCCTGATGGAACTGAGAAGTTGGAACTTGTGACCAGCAGTCAGATGCAGGGCATGTGAACCCCCCAAATCCTATGGATAGAGTGTGCTTTCCTTGATGTTCCTGCCAAAGTGAGGCTAGAAAGCCAACGAGATCTGCAAGAGATGGACCAGCGCAAAGTTGCTGCAATTTGTAAATTCCAAACCTTTGCTTGACAATGATTGCAAATAGCTCATCATTTTTAAATCAATGAAACTCACAACTGAGTGTTTCATCAACTCACAGGAAACTGGGAGGAACTCTGACAACTATGCTAGTGTATGACTTATCACGGATGGAAACATTCAAGTGGAATTCCTTTGGTTTGGTCTTATTTGAAGACTAGAACAGACTTGTATATCCATGTTAAGTTTCACATTATATGGGAACTGCTGGGAATTTCTGCAATTACATCCTCAAAAGACACTGTGCACAAACAACAGAATTGTGAAGTAATTAAGTTGGTTTTGAATGAAAACTGAGCTTACTAGTCATAAGACACGAATTGTGCCTTTGACCTAAAATGTCCTTTAATTTCTTCATCCTTTAATTATGTACTCCCCCTTCAACCATTTTGAATCGAGTAATATTCTTTCTTCAAACCCTGCTCAAGGACCTCCTCTGCCCAGAAAGGCTACCTTTTATGCATCACCCACTTTGTATACATTACATCATTTATTCCCTAAAACAATGCAATAAGTAATAAATAATATTACCCATTCTACAGAAAATAGTGACTCAGAAGGGTTCAGAAACTTACAAGTTAATTCAAAGATTTTTTAAAGCATCAAGAAATTTTATTTCTGCATAATTTTAAGGACTAAATGATGTGAAACCCTTCTTCCTATAAAACACTTTTAAATGTTCTGAGCTTCTACAGGTGAAGAGATGGAGCTAAGACCATGGCATAAAGGTAGGCTACACCCTTCCATGACCACAAAATAATTAACCCAGGAGCACTGAACAGCATCACAAAAATTGTTCTGTCTCAGCTGATGGTGGGGTGAAGACTTTGAGGGTTTCCTACTACTTGAATGGCCTGAAAAGTCTTCAGGTAAGAAAGTAGAAAATAATTTGACAGAAATCCTGGGGAGAAAAACACTGGTTTTTTTCAATAAATAAGTTGTAGGGAAGAGAGAGGGAAGGAAGGGAGAGAGAGGACAGAAAGGAAAGAGAGAGGGTAAATCTTTGAGTGTAAAAAAAAAGAAATATATGAACCAATTGCAGTTTGTAGATCTTACTGAGACCCTGATTTTGGCACACTATGAAGAAATATTCATGAATTAATCATAGATATTTGAACACTGATTTGATCCTTGTTAGGTGTAATTGGTACTTTATTTTTAGTCTTCATCTTTTGCCTTACATAGTGAAATATTTATGGATGAGATGATATTACATTTGGGATTCACTTCAAAATAATCCAGCGTGTAGTATATGGATATGGATGGACCACAGGGACATACAAGTGAAGCAAGATTGATTATAAGTTAATAATTATTGAAGCTGGTTGACTAGGTTAATTAAATTATTTTACCAACTTTTATGTATGCTTGAAATTTTCTGTAATAAGTAGGTTAAGGGAAAACGGTGGCTCTTGGCTCATGACACCAGGGGGACACCTGGCAAGACAAACTGTCTGGAAGGGTTATACTATCCAATAGGCCACACCAAATTATCACATATTAAGCCTTTTGGAAAATGAATTCACAAACCAATTATAGAAGACACATGAAGAAGCAACTCATTAGTGAAGGCCAGCATATAAGCATGTGCACACATCTTCTCTCTCTCTCTCTTTCTCTCTCTCTCTCTCTTCTCTCTCTCTCTCTCTCTCTCTCTCTCTCTCTCTCTCTCTCTCTCTCCCAGAATTAAGTCACCTGAATTTCAAATGATAGAACTAATAAATACAGCCTATAAAACTTAACAAATCTGCATGTAAGTAGGAGGTTGTTTTATTATTCTCTACGTAGGCTACTATAGACTTAGAAATTCTCCTAATTAAAAAATAATCATAGAATTGCTCAGACTTATTCAAATCCACACAAAAATGAAAATAAAAAGTATAACCAAAAAATTTTTAAAATAGTTACAAATTGGTAGACCCAGAGGTCTACCTACATTTGCTTTATTGCAGAGCTGGAGCCCCTCCGGCAATCTCAGCCTGCCCTCCCCTTATCTTTTCTGAACCGCCCAGGTAGGACTAACTCCACCCTCCACTGCACTACTTTCTTCAGGGCACCACTTCAGCACTTGGTTTTTTAAATTGCATTGTAGTTAGTTGTAGGTGTGTGTCTTCTACCAGACACGGAGCCCCTGAGGGCACTGGATTGACATACGGAAAGACAAAGGGACGCGGGTTAAAATGTGAAAAGTTTCTTTCTTTCATAGGGTTCTGTTCTACTTCTCATCAACCACCGAAGTCATTCTTGTGATGACTGATCAAAAGCTAACCATCAATAAGTTTTATAAATATCTACTTTGCAAAATAATCCATTTTCAAAGGATGTACGGGAAACGAAGATTGTGTTCCAACATTGCTCATGAATCAACAGGAGGGGTATAATTACTCCATATTTGTGAGGAAAATAAAACAACCTATAGTGTATTTGTTTCACTGTGGGGTTTCTCAAGCCCTCAGAAGGGAAAAGAATCATGTACATGTGGGTTTGTCTACTCTAGGAGTATAGTTATAAGCTGGGTTTTATTACTCAGGCATAATTAAGTAGGTTCTCAAATTAGGTTCCTCTTTAGAAATGACTGCAGAGATAATTCTACATTAATACCCCTGGTTCATGTATCTGAAATAGTACAATAAATAAAAATGTAGGAAATAGCACAGTGTACAGCAGTGATATAGTAAATCAATATAAATTCACTTATATAACACTGGAGCAGGAGTATGAATGACAGAACCATCCAGTTCAACCTTTAAAAAATATTATCAAGTGGCTTTCTAATTGAGAGCACTTTAAAACACACACACACACACACACACACACACACACACAGAAACCAGAATATAACAGCACATTAAGGAATATATGATATTATTTCTCCTTTGAAAAGTGTTTTGTTCTTTTCAGCATGACGAGGTCAGTGTCCCCAAGCAGCCTGCAGCCTCTCCAACATTTCTCCCCTTCCCTTCCATGGCAACGTGGGTTAGCGAGACACTGAGCTTTTTGTGAGCTTTTTGTGATGTGTGTGTGAGGAGCGAGGCTTCAGGGAGGTCTCGAGGTGGAAAAATTTGTGACGCACTGGCTTCGGTGACTGAGTGAGAATTATTTATCGAGGGTTCTGTAACACAATAGTCACGGTCACCCTATGCTCATTTCAAAAATTACATTTGGTCTCGAAGCTCTTAACTTCGATGGAAGCCCTTGAACAGGAGCCCCACACGACTTG